AGAAGTAAGAGGCAAAGGAAATTCTCAAGGTGATGACAAAAGGGAAGTTCAGGGCAGCAGGTCCATACAGCCACCAATCCAAAGAGCAGCAGGAAGACAAAGGACTCCCAGATAGAGGTCTCCAGGAAAAAAAAAAAAAAAAAAAAAGAACCAATAAATCATCTTACTGGTTTGAACATGCAGAAACATACTGAAGATGCTGGAAGGTTCACAAAAGATAAAGAAACCAAACCACTAGGAAAAATAAGACTTTTTTTTTTTAGATTTTATTTATTTATTTGTCAGAGAGAGCGAGTGAGCACAAGCAGGGGGAGTGGGAGAGGAAGAAGCAGGCTCCTCGCCGAGCAGGGAGCCTGATATGGGGCTTGATCCCAGGACCCTCGGATCATGACCTGAGCCAAAGGCAGCTGCTTAACCAACTGAGCCACCCAGGCATCCTGCAAAATGACACCATTTTTATCACAAAGGAAAAAAATGCTGAACAGTAAAGGAAATATAATCATAGTATCCTACTTGACTCGCCTGGACTCAGTATTGACACAGTTTAAATAATGTAAATACTGAATAATGAGTTAACCAAGTATGATAGAGCAATACTGGGATGATCAGCTTGCAGGGCAAGGTTGGGCTGAGTGATCAAGGAAGGGAGAGCTAAATCTCCACCTGCCAAGATAGGACAGAAGCCAATAGACAAAATCCCAAAACTGATGAATCAAACAGGTAATAATACAAGCCTTCGGTGAATAGCCTGGACAGGAGGTAGGAGAAGGAGACAGAAGTGAGAAAACTGCTATTTTTCATTATCAGCATTTACCCACGTGTGCATATTCTTGTGGTAAAGAAGAAATTACACCACTGAGCTCTGCTGTAAAAACAGATGAGACAGTGTAGGTGAAACAAAATCCTAATCTTAATATGCAGAAATAGTCCTATTTCTGCCTCTTTGCTAGAACAGTTCCCTGGCAAAATTCGTAAGACACCTTTAAAAGAGCTGTTTCTCACACACATCTTCCATCTATAATACCTGGTGATGCTCTTATCCCAAGAGTCTTACTAGGGCCATCCACACATCTATCAGTGTATCACAGTGACATGTTTAGACACTACTTCTTGAAGACTATTATTTCCATAATAAACTACTATAAATATATAAATACATGTTATAAAAACATAATAAATATTAAAATAATCAAATAAATTAAGTCAATACTGTCAATTCAGTTTTCCACATTGGTGGATCAATGCACTGAACTGAATGATCATTTTTACACTACCCTTTGATTTTTTTTCAACACTTCTTTTTGAATACAACAGTCTTCTAATGGTCTCAGAATGCAACCCAAACCAAAAGCAGCACCTTTCATCCCACGAACATTCATCACTATTGCTTTTTCATCATTGACTACTCAGGGTCCAGTCTTCCCAGTCCACACAGCTCCAATACTTCACACCAAACTCTTCACCATCCAAAACACAGTCACTCATAACTGTTTCTCTGACCACTACGGTTCACCTTTGTTGAAGCAGTGTCTTACAGAAGGAAAAACAATCAGACATGAATTTTATCCCAGGTCTGCCATCATCATCTAGCTCTATACCTTGGACAACTTCCAGCACATCTCTGAACCTCAAATTCTTCAGCTGGGTAGAAGAATAAGACAGAGCTGTAGAGAACTGTTACAAGAGCTAAACAAAATAACAGACATAAAACACATAGGAAATTGTGGCCACATAACACATGGCAACTGTCATCAGCAGTTACTGTCACCAGCTTTATTTCCATGCAAACCACATCTGTCCTCTGACACACAGGTCACCTGGGCAGGAAGTGCTCCTTGGTTGCTGTGAAGCCAAAGCCCAGCAGTGGCCAACTGACGGTGGACTCTCAAGTGTGTACAGAACCAAAGGGGCTCTGAGATCCAGCTCATGCCCCACCTCCATCCCAGAAAGCATTACCAGCCACTCTTGGCCCAAGGCTTCATCCTCTGCATCACTGCAGCACTCTGCACCCCAGCACACCCACCACCCAGGTTTTCAAGTCTACTCTAAAAAAGAAGATACAGGGGCGCCTGGGTGGCTCAGTCGGTTAAGGTCTGCCTTCAGCTCGGGTCATGATCCCAGGGTTCTGGAATGGAGCCCTGCATCAGGCTTCCTGCTCAGTGGGGAGCCTGCTTCTCCCTCCACCATGCCCCCTGCTTATGTGCTCTCTCTCTCTCTCTCTCTCTCCCCTTCTCTCTGTCAAAGAAATAAAATCTTTTTAAAAAATAAAATTAAAGTTAAAAAAATAAAAGATACATCCCTCACCAGGAAAATTAAGTTAACAATGGCTACATCTGGGAAATTCAAAACTATATTTTTTAAATACCACATTTACTTCATTCATATATTGCTCCATCTGCCCAGTCTCATGATGAAGACCCTCTTATCCTGTTTTTCCTACTCAGAAAAGCTTTAATACTAACGCTGGAAGATAAAAAATGGATCAACCTAGTAGGTACGTTTTATTGTTTTAAATTCCCTTCCAGCATATAAAATTAGGTAAGTGCCCGTTGTTTGTTAATTGTTATTATAGTACAAGTTTATCCGAAAAAGTGTAAGAAAGGCTGAGGGACTGTGGTTTTGCAATTCATATCTTTAATTATCTGTATATAATTAAACTTTCAAATCTCTTGTGCACATCAACAAAGCCCCAAATTCCACAAGGCAGCCCTGGCAGCTTCTGCCCCCATTGCACCTGCAGGGTGATCCTAAAGAGGGCTTTCCCCCATAGACTGCAGGCAAACAACAGCGGCCTCTGGTTCATGCTCTCTAAATTCGGTGTGTCTACATGGTGAACACTTAAAAGGCTTACCTGGGAAGGAAACAAGACAGACATGGTCACCTAGCATACTAAAATATGCTCACACAAATAAACAGAGATGGTTGCTTTACCAGAAGAGCCACATAAAGTGAGTCACTAACAAATTATCTTTAACTCGGGTCATGAACATGAGCGTGTAATTTTTCAAACCTGACTACAACTGCATTGCTGATACGTTAAGCCCAGAAACAGCTACATCTGAGCATTGTGTAAATCAGATAGATTATTAAAGCAGCACCTTGCTTAAACCTTCTGCCATGGAATAATTGGAGTACAGAATGCCCCAATATGAATAAAATCCCCATTACAAACCAGAGTATACCTATACACAGTAAACATTTCATAGTTTAGTGGGAAGAGCAAAGTATGTCAGCTTCCTATCAACTATGGCGGATTTGTCCCAGGGATGGCAAAATATACATACAGGTCCTTGTCCTTGTCCAGCCAGACCCAAAAGCATCTTCCTGGGGACACACCTGATGCGATAAGGTGAATACAGACATGTGCTTAGGCTGGAGCCAAAGGAAACCCAGCACCTTCATGTCACACAGAAGAGAGAAACTGCTTCTCTGAGGCCAGAATGTAGCTTAATCTTCTTGCATCACTCATTTAAAAACAAACAAACAAACCTACCTAAATTCTATCATTTTCTCAAGACCCTGCTCAAAAGTCACCTTCACAACAAAATCTGTGGTCAACTTCAGCCTTGATTCTTTCAATGACCCAAATCTTTCTTTCCATACTTAACTGAAACACACGTGGAGAAAGAGATACCCAGGTACACGCGTCACCTTTACTGCTAGACTGTGGACTCCCATCAGGCATAATTCATAATTTATCTTGGCCCATGGTGGCAAGTACACACAGCACCCGGCACACGACAGATGCAATAAATATCTACTGACTGCATACGTGTTTTCATATCTTAACTGTGAAACAAAAATCAAAAAACACTGTTTCTGGCCTCATGAGTCAGACTAATAATGAAATTTAAGGGTATTAAGTAGCATGACAAGGGCTGGACAGTAAGAATACAATTAAGTAATTAGTGTGTACGAGGCATACAATATCACTATCCACATACATAGTATCCACCATTTTCAGAGCCCTTGCAAAACTATATTCTCACCATTTGCAAAGCCCTTGCAAAACTATATTCTCACAACTCTGAAAGAAAGGAATTATTATTTCAACTGTAATGAGTAAACTCATTTCAAATCAATGAGTAAGCTAATGACTTGAATGACTCGGACAGGACCATACTACCAGCTAGTTAAATGGTAGAGCTAGAACTTCTTATAACAGACATATGGAAAAAAAGGAACAGAAATGGGAAATAAAACACAGTCCTCTCTTCCATCCAACACTACAATGGGTGATCACAAATCTACCAACTCACCTTTTTGTGAAGAATTCATAAGAAAGAGAAAAAAGATTTGCAATGACTTTTCATTGGCTTTAATCCAAAATCAGCCACATTTTTTCACTAGAATTAGTGCATAGATCCTTAAATATGTTAAAAATGTAGAGAGAGCATAATATCAATATAATACACCCAACAGATATGAAACACAATGGCTCTTATCCAGTTAATTACTGTCACCTCTGTCCAATGAATTCCTTTGTTCTTGCACCTCCAAGTACAAGATATACACGGTAGGTATTAAACCATCACCCAGAGCAAGGCAGTTGTTAACCATGTAAAGTGAAGAAGGCAACACCACCTTCATTGTTTATAGTGCCAGTCTCACACAGGGGCAGTAACTCTTTGTTACACAGACAGGGTACCAAAAAGGCTGAGAGCACGACATGTTGCTTAGGATCATCCAATTGAACCTCCCAGCCTGGGCAGATAGCCGCCCCAGTGTCCCTGCCGGTGCGTAGCCCACTGCCGGGAAAGGAGAGTGAGGGCAGGGCGCCCAAGAGAATGGACACACTCAGGGAGGGACACAGGCCACTGGGAACCGTGTCCACCTTAACACATTCCCACTGGGACATGGGAGACAGAATTCAGTTTTGAAAGTGTCACTTGACAGCAAGTGGAGAAAATGAAGCAAAGCAAGTTTGGAATCCACAGGGAGGGGGCTCGAGAATACCTCCCCAGGTGAGCAGACAAAAAGTGCAACAAACCCCAGCTCACCTCACTATTGTGGCCCCGCAGGTTGAAGTTTATTCTCTGTGGTGTGTTTCTGTCCCGGCGGCAGTGGCTCGAGGTGAAGGTCACCCCAACAACGCCCCGGCCATTGCCCGTGGCCAGCCAGCCCTCCTCATAGTAGCGCCTCCGGCACACCGGCTTCTCCTTCTCACTCTTGGGAACACGCCCCTTCCAGGACAGGCAGAGGATGTTGGAGTCACTGCAAAGGACAGGCCCATGTTCCACTGCTGCATACATACTTTTTTTCAGTGAACTGTTTTATTTAAAAAGTAATGCTGAATGCTGAAAAACTGAAACCAGTTCTTTTCATGGATCAATTGATTGATGTGATTTCTGTGGTTGGCTTGCGTTGTTGTCCCCGACCCCTTTTAATGAAGACTGACCTAGATCTAATTACAAGGTCAGTATTTTATAAAGATCCACCAAATGCATAGTGAAAAAATTCCTCTAGAAAAGATGATGGCAGTCTGCTAGGAAAAGGTAATGCTTAAAAACAACATGCGCCCATTTTTATTTTCAAGTCCTTAGAGGAAGAGCGTCATTAACACGTGCTGATCAAGAAACGGGGTTTTCTTCTTTTTACTCAACTTGGTTATTCTCATTCAGCCTGAGATTCCAGTTTAGTGTAATATGATTCCAGAGACAAAGGGTTGCAAATACATAGATTTCAAGTAACTTAAGGCTTTAAAGAATCCCTCGAGCTGGAATTTTCTCTTCAAAAGTTCAGATGCAGAGACAGAACACATGGGATCATCTTCTGAATCATCATTCTGAAGCCACCCTCTGGCATGTTTTCTCAACTAGACAAATTTCTGCTGCTGAAGCTGAAAAAGATTGCATAAAGGGAAAAAAAGGCACACAAACCGTGCAAAACAGACCAGAGTTTGTGCAGAGAGCAGTCCAAGCTCAGCAAGGAAAACAGACTCTCCCCACTGTTCCGAACCAGAAACTTCCCACCTCAGGGCCCGGTCTGGCTTCCCAGCAGGCAGGTTGCTGTGTCCTGGCGGAGAGCTGGGCTCCATCTGACTGGCCCTCCACAGACCAGTGCGTTCCTCGGTGCCATAGAGGCGGAGAGAGAAAACCCCTTCACTCACAGAGCCAGAAGGTTCTAATGCTCTTGAAGTGGCACAAGTGTTCACCTTGGGTGAATCCTAAATCCTCTCGTTGACAAAACCGAGCCTCACTACAGGATTCTCTTCTGCCCCGTCTCCTTCCTCCCTCCCCTACTGGCTTCTCCCCTTTCTGCTCCTAAAGATCACCTATTTTTCCATCTTGCAGGAAAAGACTAATCTCAGAATTAAGTCTATCAAGTACTCTTCCTCCTATATGGACTCAACAGGGAAGAGAAGCCCTTAAAATGCAAACACAGACAAGTGTCGGGATCTTCCACACTGTTTCCCTAAAGAGTCAGCATGTTCTGCTGATGGGCACTCTCCTGCTCACATTCAGAGGTGCTTCCAAATGCCACGTGGAAAGTCCAAGGAAAAGAAGCTTTGCTTGGATGTTCCTTGATACTTATTTTGTAAATATTGGTTTCAGTTGCTACTTTAAAATATTATCCTACAGATATGGGAAAGGAAAAGGGAAATAATAAATTAAAACTTCAAGAATACAGTTAACTGAAAAAGGCAAAGGAACCAGTTCATCGTTCAAACTTGTCCCATCATACCTGACCTTGCTTTCCTGTAGTCATACACAGCCAGAGTTACTTCTCAGTCCAGAGTTTTGAAGTCTGTCCAAATCACCAAAAACACTGGAAAATAAAGTGCAAAACCCACTGCATGATGACGCCCGTGCTGCTTGACACCACGCTTCTCCCCCGGCCACCTTCTCACTTAGTTCCTTCTTTAAAATGCAGAGGTATTTCTGAGGCTTGAACTGTGCAAGTTTTTTTTTCTTCTTTTTGCAAACTTTCTTTACCCGTGAAGACCATGTGGAAAACTGACCATTAGTAACATATTTTTCTCCCCGGGCTCCTGAGCCCAGTAGTGTCAAGTTGCTCCATCTGATTCTTAAATTAATTTTCATCAGTTGTAAAACTCTTCAAGTGTGCACAAGAATGAGCCTGTCTTCTGGTGTAAATGTGTATGTGTACAAAGAAGGTCTTAGATATACACAGACATACGCTCTTCGATGGGCACCAAAGTTTCTGTCTTCCCAGTCATTTCAGGAACCATCTGATTAATCACAGCTTGAAGGCCCTGGAGTCTCACAAATCTGTAAAACAAGATAGGATATAAAAAAAAAAAGACTTTAACACACTGATGAAGAGAGGTTCCAACTGAATAACTGCTGTAACAAACTGGGAGACCCCACTTTACACACACACACACACTCTCTTAGCCAGCTCAGAGACAACAGACAACGTAAGGAGTCTGAATGCCGTCTGCCAGTAGCTGGGCACATCTGAATGAAATAATCCCCTCCATTCTCCCACACCCTGCCGTCCTTCCTGAGACTCTGGGTGCTGCAGGTGCAACTCTATCCCTCCCAGGGCCATCATCCTAGTTAAGCGGGCAATCTCAAAAAGGAGACTCAAGAGGCTCAGGCAAGTTATCTCACTGGTTTTTTCACTATGGGTAAAAGCTGTTGCCTGAAGACACAAAACGCAAGGGCCTTTAAAAATGTCTCTATCCCTGACTGCAGGCAGGTCAGAGCAAAGAACAGCTGTTTTCATAGCTTTTAAGCGGCCTACTAGTGATAAAGTCCTAGAGAATCCATTTCCAGCAAATCCACCCTCTCTTCCTTCCTACTGCCATCAGTCCAGGCCTGCATCACAACCATAAAAACACTGGACAATGCGGTCCCTAACATCCCCACACCATCCCACCTCCCAGAGGGCCCTCAGGGTGACCTTCCTAAATTGCAAGGCTATTTGAAGAACCTACACTGTTCTCCCCTGGCCCAGGCAGTCCCCTAGAGGGCTAAACAGATTAGCTCCACCCAAAACACCTGCCACTTAGAGTCTCTGCATTTATAACCAGTTCCACAGAGATGTTAACGCTGCTAGTCCGGGCACCGGGCTTTGCGAACCCCCAGTCTGTGGGCTCACACCCCAGCAAGACCCTTCTCCTCTTCTCTGGCCACAGACTCCGGGTCCAGCCCTGCCTGTGTTACACTGTGGCATCTGGCCATTCCCTGCCCCCCAAAGTACTGTGTCCTTCCTCTCCTTCATGTCTCCACTCCTTGCCAAGCCCCTACGCACTTCCTTTAAAACCCACCTACAACAGCACCTGTCCTGTAAAGCCTCCCACAGCACCTTGCGCTACCTTCCGCAACAGGACTCATCATGCCGCATTCGAACACTCTTGTCTATACTCCTAGAGGCTTGGAACCTATCTTTCTCAGTCCTCGCGTAGAGTTCAGTGTAAACTAGGTATTCAAGTAAAAGTTTATAGGAGGCAGGCAGGAGCAAGGCAGCAGCTACATGTAATTTCCTTGGGATACTCTAATTCAGATGAGTCCTAGTACATATATTTTGTATGAGTCTACAAATCCAAATCACTAAATTCTCTCAGGACTTCTGTCAAGAAAGCACTTGTACCTGAGGGAAAAAAGTAAAAACAAATGCTATAAAATTCAAATTAACGCCGTGTTCCTCCCTCTAAAATGCTAATACCACTATATAATATAGCCTTAGTCCCTGTTCTGATGTGGGGCAGCCACAGGTGGAAAAAACAGACACAACTTCTCAAGACCCAGCTATATATACACAGGTTTTAAACTATTTAACAGCAGAATCCATGATTATTAAAGCATCCACATTATATATGACAGTGTAAGCGGTCAATTCCCCTGAAATCCTCCTGATGGGGATCCATAAGGTCAAAATTATTTTCATAGTAATACTAAGACACATTATTTGCCTTCTTCACTGTACTGACAATTCTATCAATGGTGCAAAAGCAACAGTGGGTCAAACTCAGCTCGTTAGCACCAGTGAAGGCACCAAAATGTACCAGTACTCATGGGGTTTTGTAAAAACGCCAGTTTCACGTAACAATATTTGTGATGCAGAGGCACCTGGGTGGCTCGTTGGTTAAGCGTCCGAATCTTGATTTTGGCTCAGGTCATGATCTCAGGGTCATGAGATCAAGCCCCACGTGGGGCTCTGTGCTCAATGGGGAGTCTGCTTGATATTCTCTCTCTCCTTCTCCCTCTGCCCCTCCCCCCACCTTTCTCTCCTTAAATAATAAATATGGGGGCACGGGGTGGCACAGTAGGTTAAGCATCCGACTCTTGGTTTCGGCTCAGGTTGAGATCTCGGGGTCCTGAGACGGAGCCCTACATAGGACTCCGCTCTCAGTGTGGAGTCGGCTTGAGATTCTCTCTCCTCCTCCCTCTGCCCCTCCCGCTGTGCTTTCTCTCTCTCTAAAATAAATAAATAAATCTTTAAAAAAGAAATAAAATAAATCTTTTTTTAAAAAAAGAATATTCTTTATGCAGTACAAATTGTTAATTTTATTAAGTCTCAACCATTAGCACATGGTTGGTTAATATTCTGTGTTTCAAACTATCCAGTACCCAGAAAGCATCCCTACTGACTCCTGAAGCACAAGGGTGACACTGGGAAAAGCACCTGTGCTGTCATGTAAATTCCTGTGCTGTCGTGTAAATTGCAAGCTGAACTGATGTTTGTTGCACGGAATACCTGGAAAGAATGAATGACAAATTATGGTAATCCAGGCTTGGGTCTTTGGCAGACATTTTCTCAAACATGAACAAAGGGAGCATGTCACTTTAAGGAAAACCACTGACAGGATTTGCTGCCTATAACAAAAGTTGAGCACTCAAGTTAAAATGAGAACTTTGGGAAAACCAGTGTCTATCATTGTGAGCTTGACAGCTCCCCAAGATTTAAAGATATTCTGCATGCAACTGGAGGTAACGTTAACAAATGTGAATTTTTTATATTGCATTTCATATTTCATAGTGTGTCAGTATTTGGGAGATTCACATAACTTAGTGAACCAATATTTTCCAAATGATCAATGCATGAGGATACAAGTTATGCTTGAGTAGAAGAGCCATCAAGGTGCAAGAAAGACAAAAGGATTTTGATCTAACCAAGTACAAAAAATTCACCAATAACATTTAAAATCCCCTACTGCTACTAACCTTTAAGAAACTGCCACTTGTTAAGTTTTAGTATACTATCAAAAAAAATCCAAGATTATCTGAAAGGATTATTAAAATATTTCTTCCTTTTCCAACTACATATCTGTGTGGTCAGATTTTCTTCATATATTTTAACAAAAACAGCACACTGCAATAGATTGAATGCAGAAGCAGATATGAGAAGCCAGCTACCTTTTACTAAGTCAGACATTAAAAGATATTTTGCCAAAATGTAAAATAAT